GGGATGCATAATTTAATCCTTCCTTACACGATGCCAAGAACCAGAATTGTCACTTAAAACTTAAGAACTGCTCTGAAGTCATTAGCAGCAGCCCAAAGCCAACAAAACACTGCCCATCATTAGAAAAGGTACCAAGGAAAAAAATGGAAGTTTTATTTTTGCAGCTGATTTTGCTCAGTATAAAAGCCTGACAATTGCTGTCTCAAGTAATGAGTGTGATTCTGGCTTCTGTCTCTCAAGAAGGGCATGAGAGTTTAGAGAGGGGCAGCAGAAACACAAAGAATATGGAAGAGTTGCCTCATAATGAGAAACTGGACAAGTTGAGATTCTTACATCTGTACAGAGTAGTCTGAGGAGGATATAGTGGAGGTTACAGAATCACTAGATCCCATCATACCTGAACTAGGAGGCACTCACTGAAACTGCTGGGAACTGATTCAGCAACTCCACCTGCAGTGGACTGCAGACAGTGGCTGGGATTGCGTGATCTCCCTGTATGGCACCTTCTGCTGCCACTGTGGGAATCAAAATTGTGGGCTAGGGGGACCGTTGGTCTCAAAAACTTGATATTCTGTTGTTAACATAATTCTGGCAAGATATGTATTTCGTAAGTGCAGTTATTTATGTTTGTGTGCATCTGAATATAAACTCCTCCATTCAGGAATGGACCATACTATCTCAATTTCTTTTGTTTTGAATGTACTTTAAAATTTTCTGCCTCCCTAGATTTGTTTTTTTCTTACTTCTTTACTTACTTAATCTTTGATTTCCTTTGCAAATTTTCTAGCCTTTCTGATTTCTAATCAGTATGGATTGATAATAGTTTCCTCTTTTATTTCCCCAGTTTGTTATGCAAAGTTTTAAAGTTTCACTTTGTCATTAATATACTGGATCACTGCTGAGAGGAGGTTATTTCTCCATTGTCTACCAAGGGAGCTTTGATAGATAGCTTAGACTAAACCCCTAACTTCCAGGTGGCTAATGTTGGGTGAAAATAATTTGCCCCAACTACGTAAACTACGTAAAATGCCACCTGGGATTATGCACTCTTTGTTCATATAAGATGTAACTGTGTTGTAATCGCTGCTCCCTAGCCAATCACCAACCTTCAGTGGGGTGGATAATTTGGATTATTTACCATAAAGCAGTACCACAGTCTATTGGTGTATTCAGAATTTTCCGATTTCCAGTTGCCAATAGTTTTAAAAAGTTAAGTGTCCTGAATGTAGGTTACTACCATACCATAACATCATTATATCCTTTATATCTCATTTATTATATCTCATTCAAGTCAAGGTAAATACTTACATTGGGAATACTGACTGCTGCAAGGTTAAGGAGGTACACTGGGGCAAAGACACTCTGTGCTTGGTCTGTACCTTACGTTCTTTTCCTAAGTATCCTCTGCAGCTTGATGTCAAAGACGGCCCTAGAGTCAAGAGGCCTTTGGTCTGGTTTGGTACACTTCTACTTTTGTTGTTAGGTAGGTGTCCGCAATGTCCGCTATTTGAAATAAAAGAATTTCTATCTATCTGATTTGTCTTCAAATCCTTAAGTTTGGGAAGTAAACTACTGCTCTCTTCCATTTGACACGATTCAATTCAATTTGCCTGTGACATGGTGAGTTTGTATTTCTGTTAGATTTGTCTTTTGGAGAGTTTTATCTTTTTTAAGTATTTTTATACCTTCTTGTCTGTTCCAGTTAATCCCGTCTAAAGAGACTGGTCATACTGTATGAAGACCCCCATTTATAGTGTTGCACAGAGCCAAAGCCCTAATTTTTTCACTGGTTGTGCATTCATCTCTGGTGTTTTATTTCTTCTCTTGCTTGTGGGCCCGAAAAGGCCACCAAAAAGATCATTTAGAGTTTCATTCTCTTCAGTTCCTTCCAAAATCCTTTAAGTCTTCTATAATTGGTTCCAGTGTATAGCACCTTCATCTGAGAGATGACAGACAACTTGCTTCATATTCTCCATTCAAACTTTCTGTTAGATTTCCTACTTTTGGTCTATGGAGACTTAATTTCTTTCATTGTCCTCATTTCTTTCCAGCTCTCACTTCCTGATTTCATTAAGACTCTTTAGACCGTATTTTTGGCAATCACAAGGCCACTGAAAAGGACTTTACAAAAGGACTTAAAACTTTTGAAACCCTCAAGGCAGATGGGTTTCTCTTGAAACCTTGTGATTTATTCTGCAGAAGAAGCAGAATAAGCAAGCCCCTGGAGTAGAAGCAGGGGTTAGTCACTGTAAGAGAAAACCAAATCCAAACAGTTCTTTTAATGAGCACAGGAGACTTAATGTATGTCTTCATTGTTTGAGATAACACACTTTTACTTCTGAGCAGATCATGTAGCTTTCACTAGCTATTGCTGAGATGCAGTTCATTTTCTGGGCAGTTATTTATGAGAAAGACAGTGAAGTGATGTTATATATTTTATTTTATTTATGCATTAGTTCGATGTTTCTATTTAATTTCAGGTGTAGCAGTCTGAAAAGAGAAAGCATTCAAATATCTGCCAATCTGTGCAATAATCCAAATTCATAAATATCCAAAGCAAGAAAGGTCATTTTTAGAGCAACTTGATAAGCTCATTACAAGCTGATACTTTAGAGATTTTCAAATAAATACCCTTTCAATATACTGTCTATATTGGATAAATATCCAATGGTAGCATCAATACCTTTATAACCTGCACAGCCCAACAGATTGCATCTTTAAGGCAAGCCATGAATCTGTTCTGAAAGCCTGAATGGATCCATTCTTCCAGTAGGAATATATAGCATGCCTCATGGTATCAAGGGGAAGTTGCTTGAGACTTCATGGAGTAATACAGAGGACATCTCTTAGCCTGGTGGTCGTCAGTTTATATTCTGAAACTTGTTACTGATTACACTTGTAAGTTAAAAGTAAAGGTGAAATACATCATAAAATTATCCAGCAATAGAAGAAATATGTGACTGTCTGTTCAGTTGCAGTAAACAGAAGTCAACAGATCTTCAGTTGTCATAGAAGCATAAGTGGGCCTGAGCTGTCACAATTCATGCAAGTTCAGTTGCTGGGTCCCTTTGGTAGATTTTGCTCCTAACTCATCTCATTGATTCCTTACTCCCTTGTAGCTAAACAGTGCATAACAGATCTTGCTTTTAGCCAAGAAACAATATTTTCAACAATCATTGAAAAAACCACATCAATATTTCTTAAAACAGCCTTGGGTTTCTGCAGGATGGGAGCCTCCAAAGGCGTTTGACTTCTCATCCCTGGAGTCCCTTTGTAACCACTCTTCATTAATACTGTGTGGTACAGTGGAAACCTACCTATATGACATGGCTGTACAGCTGTGCTGCCTCCAGACCACGTTTCTCTTTGAATTCATGATACAAAGAGGCCTAAATGTGATGACATCGTGTCACTCAGGTGTTGTACACAGGAAAGGGTATTACCAATGCACACTGAGATGTGGGGTTATTTCCTGAGGCTCCTCTGGCTGTAGGAACTGTAGCATCAGGCAAACTTTGCCACATTCACTACATAGTGAGTGTAACAAAAAAACAGGTCTCATTCGATAGGTCCCAGAAAGTCTACCTAAAAAAAAATCAGGGAATCCTCTCTAAACCAATGCCAGAACCAAAAGCTCATTTAGAAATAATAATCTGACAAGTTTAGACTACGTAGAGTTTCTTGACTGTAAGTGGCATGCTTTAAGCCAAAAACTTTAGTTATGTGTAAACCTGTTGTATTTATTAGGTACTTAGTGCTTGTTAATATCAACTTCTGATCCCCTAATCTTGTAGATAAGCACTGTAGGCATCAAGTTGAATAAAGCTTTGCTATTACAGGCAAAAGTTCTTCTCTCAGATTTCCACCGTTAAGATAATTATTTTCATAATGTTTGTGAAATACCATCCAGAAAAAATGAATGATGTAACAAGCATGTTTTATCTGTTTTATTATTTGAGCTCTGGAGGAGCTCAGATCAATGACATCAATACTTGGACTGTGGCACACATTTTATTAGTGGTTTGTGAAGACAGTGATGGCAAAGAAATTGCCTGTTCCAGTGCAAATTCTGTTTCCCCTGAAGCCATTTTAATATTCACTTTACATCAGACAGGAAAGTACAACTAATAGAAAAGAGGTCAAAGTCAGGCAAAGTAAGCAAATCAAGCTATCTTGCATTAGATTTCTGGGTATGCCTCATGGACACAGGTAGGTGACAGTGGCTGGTTCATGCAGATTTGTTGACAATTTCAGTTGACCTTAGGAGGTGGATAGATGCCTTTTAATTGTAAAAACACAGCCGAGGAAAAATATTTTTTAGCAGCTCCTTTGCTACAACTGCACTTTGAAGTATTTTGTGGAACTGCCTTCAAAATCAGTAAGATTCAACGTTGCTGGTTTGAGTCAGACCTTTTATAATCACATGTATGTGTCTGTGTATATATGTATATGTGCCTATATAAGATTTCCCTTAATTTCCCTTTTTCATTAATGTAATCTTCAAATGCAAGCACAAAGAATGAGGATGCGACTGCTTGCACAGTGTTTATATTGTTTAAATGAACCATTAAGGCCAAATTCAGCCCTCAGTTCCAGTGGAGATACTGTATAAGATGAAACTATCAGTTGTGCTTGGATCCTTTAATTCTTCTCAACTCTGTGGTAGTTTTAAGCCACTGAACCCTGTTTGAATGCCACCCCCCCTCATTTTGAACATAGTTCTGGCATCATCATCTGGGACAAGTTTGCAAAAGCTTTTCTAGTGGCTCTCGGCCAACATCCGTTTTCGTTTACACCTGTGTGCCTCGTTAATGTCAATTGCTTTGCAAAGATTAAATCACTGTCCATGTTGTTATGCATAAGTTCTTCACAAGGAGCTGGAATGTTCAATGAATGGGTTATACCATGGTTTTGCGAATTGTAAAAACTGATATTGCAAACATCTGAATGAATCAGATTACATTGCTACCTCGTGTCTTTCATCTTTCTGTGATGTTTAGGAGAAATGGGGGACAAAGGGCAGAAAGGCAGCATGGGACGGCATGGAAAAATTGGTCCTATTGGTTCAAAAGGTAAGCTTCACTCATTTGTTTCTCTGTTAGTGCTTCAGATGAAAAATCTGTGATCATTTATGTTTGAGAAAAGGTTAGTGGGTTGAGAAGCACTTAGCAAGCCTCAGAGTTTACCATAATAGAGTTTCTTACACTGTTGTCAGGCAGATGACTGAGATCTCTCAGTTACCTTTCGCTCTGACAGCTGTATATTTAGCCTTAAAGCAGGGTGAGAATCCTGGTTTAAGGCTAAATAAAGAACTTTGTGCACCGTCAAACAAGTGTGAGTGTGGACAGTTAAGAAGTAGCTGGGAAGGTGCACTGTGTTTTGGCAGACATTTAAGAGCCAGAAGACTTGAATTCTAATCTTGCCTACCCCATAGGCTTTCTATTAAGCCATGAGGACCAATGTTTACTTAAGCCTCTAGATTACTAATCTAGACCTAGACACCAGCATAGCATATCCATCCCTTTTCTCTCTGTGGCATCTGAACTTATTGGTTCTTTGAAGTTCATGAATGTCAAAAAATGGATATTGGTACATATTCTTTGAGTTCAACTTTCATGGTATTGGCTGGCCTTTGCTGTGGAATGACAAGGACAAAAAAATATATTTTTGCTAGGGCTTATTTCTACTTTCCACATTTGAATGTTACTAGAGAAAAAATAAACAAGTTCCAAATGAACTCTTGACCAGAAAAGCTGCATTAAATTTATATTATTTTTCCTCTTTTTAGGTGAAAAAGGAGATAACGGTGACATAGGACCACCAGGTCCTAATGGTGACCCAGGTAATCCATGATGCACCTTGTGTACGTGAAGGATTATACAAGATGCATGCATCATCACCAAAAACACGTCTTACCTACTGGGGGAAATAATGAAAAATTAAATATTTGTATAGACACTGTAATATTCCACTGTTATATTTCCAAATTACTTAAATTTATTGAAGCTGCAGTAGTTTCTGGACTTGTAGTGTGTTTTTTGCAACAATGCCTCAGAGCCCGCCAGAGGTGTGATCGCTCTGAAGACTGGCGGGAACTGAAGTGCAACTGTCTGTGTCGTTCAACACCAGTGCAAAGGGGCATCTCTGCACATCCCACTCTGGCTTCCAGCCACAAAGGAGCAGGTCGGAAGCTTCTGCCCCTCTATGGATCATTGTTGTAGAGCAGGAGATTACCAGGAATACAGATATTCCAGAGAAAAAGGTGAAACCCTGGCATAAGAAGTGTAAGCTTTACAAAAGTGGGAGATTCAGATTTTGCCCAATTTGTTCCTTCCTGCCAGGGTGCACTGAAGGTGCACCAATTAGTTTTGTCATGAGAACATAATTTGTCACTCTAATTCCTGAGACAGAATACCATATACCTTGCCATCTAGCACAGTTCTGCAGTGTAAGTACTCCCTGCTTAGACTGAATTAGGCACCTAAACTGAGTAATTGAGCAGTCAAATGCAGATTTGAATAATTGCAAACAGAGCTGGAAACTCTAATTGATCCTTGTTTGGAGATTTGAGCTCATGGATGTAACAATTACCCTTTTAGTATTCTCGCTCAGATTATCCTTGTCAAACTAATATCAATTTGGGTTAAAAGACGATTTCCTATTGTGTTATTTTATTGGAAGAGGTACGGTAAATTTTGCAGGTAATTATGTGGATTACATGATCAGAACATTAGCCTTTTGGATCTGCTATGTTATGTTCCTTGTGAGGAACAGGAGAACAATGTGCTGTGCTGATTTTTACTGTGGAAAAAGTGCTCTTTGTAGAAGACTGGAGAGAATAATTTTACTCAAAATGCAAAATTTTGACAAATATTATTAGTTAAAAAAAAAATCTGTTTTTTTTCTTTTTCAGAGAATATCTGTTAGTGTTTAGGTTAACAGTAATCTTGCAGGGCCCAAGCTTCTTGGGAAGTGAACTGTTCTGGATAGGCCTACGTGCTCGTGAGAACCATATGGTGGTGCAGGGTAGCAAAGACTATGGGTTTCTGACCATTATTTGCAAGGCAAGTGTCCTTCTCCAGGGCTGTCAGGCTTTTTTATTTTGGTGTATGTGTATCATTTCACAGGCATCCCCTGTGAGTGCAGCCAGCTAAGGAAGGCTATTGGTGAAATGGATATCCAAGTGGCCCATCTGACAACGGAACTCAAATTCATAAAAAATGGTAGGTTAATTTTGTATAGATATTTTTCCTTTCTCGTTGCTTCATTTTACTGGTGGAATTGCTCGTAGAGAGCAACACCGTCCTGCATCTGACTTGTGAAGCTATTTTGGGGTGTACAGTAAGTTGGTTTATAGAAATGCGAGTGCTCACTTTTCAGCACTGCCCTCCCCCGCAGCTGTTGCTGGTGTGCGTGAGACGGATAATAAGATATATCTGCTGGTGAAGGAAGAGAAAAGATACAAGGAAGCCCAGCTCTACTGCCACGGAAGAGGAGGGACGCTGAGCATGCCCAAGGATGAGACCGCCAACAATCTGATCGCCTCATACATCAACCAAGCCGGGCTCACTAGGGTTTTCATTGGGATTAACGACCTAGAGAAAGAGGGAAATTTTGTCTATTCTGACCGATCGCCCATGCAGACCTTCAACAAATGGCGCAGTGGGGAGCCCAACAATGCCTATGACGAAGAGGACTGTGTGGAGATGGTGGCGTCTGGAGGGTGGAATGATGTTGCATGTCATATCACCATGTATTTTGTGTGTGAATTCGACAAGGAAAATGTCTAAGTTGGTCTGCTCGTTCTTTATTTTAAGAAAAGGTTTTAAGCTGATTATATAAGTTACCCTATGTTTATAGAGTACAAGTGATATTTTGCAAGTATGTGGCATCAGTGTTGTACAGCTGTAAATACAATTTAGGTATTTCAAATATCAGTATTTACCCTTCAGAAGGGAAGAGCAGTGATAAGACATAGCTTGGTTTTTTTTCTGTAGGAAAAACATATATTTAGATAAAAATGTGGTTTGGGGCTAAATTCTACCCTCAGAAGAGTTAACAAATGCAATTGCATGACTGTAATGGAAGGCAGAATTTGGCCTCTAGTTTTTAGAACTATTATTTCTGAAGAAGTCAATTCCTGATATTCTTTTATCTTAGCAAAATTTGTAGTTATAAATGTTAATTGCTTGTAGTGCTACAGGGATATTTCAGCAACAAGACAAATATTTTGTATACTCCAGTTAATAAGTACAAGTATTACTGTAAGTTTTTTGGATGTGGAAGGCATTACAACTATTTTTTTGAAAAATAGCCAAAGCAAACCAACAAATCGGGAGTCCTACCAATTTTGTAATGTTTCTTTATTAAATTCTCCACAGATGTATGACAAGGGGGCACTTAAGTAAACTGAGTTTTAGTGCTGAGGGAGAACAAAGTTCTTTTAATTTAGTCCTGAAAGAGGGATCCCAGCAAGATGGGTGTTTTGTCCTTGGCTAAAGGTAAAGTAAGATTTCAGTTTTCTGCATTCTTTAGTTGAGAATGATTCAGTGCATGAACTATTTCAGGCCCCAATGATTTCTTAAAGTAAACATATTTCACTTTTGTATAAGTTGATCTTGGTGCATCTTGTTACAAAAGAAACAGAAGGCCAGCACTCCACAATTTAAAGCAGATTTCATAAATGGACAACAAATCTCATAAAAACAGTTTAGCTACTAGTTCCTTTTGGTAGGAAAACATCTTATACGTTTACTCAGATTACAAGGGTGAATTCCTGAAAAGCAGCAAAAGTTTCCAAAATTTTCATGATTATGTATATTGCAGTAATAAGTAATTTTGCAAAAATAATGTATGTACCCAATTTATAATTGCATGTGATGAAAAACGTGATGTATATTTAAAAAAACCCAACAACATAATTTCACAAAAGAAATGGTGAATTACTTTGGATCTTCCTAGGAGCCAGTTGCAGGACATCTTGTCTTGCCATTAGGCATAGATAGATGACTGCAAAGTCTCTGTGTTTTTTCAGGACAGTGTTTTAAGATGATTTCTAAGCCGAAATGAGCCTTTGTGTATAATATTGTAATCTAAACACATATCTGATCATTAGGGGAGATTGATCTACAGGATATCCACAGAGGATCTGGCATGTTCTCCCAGATGTTTCCCTACAGCAAGGCAAGACCAAATCATATTAACTCTGCAGTGCTGTGGTGTATGAACAATCAATGACCTTACAATTCTGTTCATATCCACAGAGTCTGACAATATTTTATGTGATGCTATTATTATATACCTTAGAAAACAATCCATTTTGCTTGCTATATTTACTCTGTGAATTTGAATCCATTATATATATATATGTTTGCTATTAATTTTGAAGATCAGTAGCAAATTCTATAGTATTCTATAGTATTTTAATATCAGCCCAGCTCCAGAGCAATCACTCTAAGAAATGAACGGTTCTTTGATTGTTTTACTTTTTTCTAATAAAGGTAGGTATGATTCCTATATGTTAGATGTGCTTCCAACTATACATTGAAATCTATTAAATAATGTGAATATGGTTCTACACTAATATTCAAAAGACTCTTTACAGAATTTTTAGGGAGCTAACAATTCCAGGGGAGCAATTTTTTTGATAGAATAACACCTTTTGAATATCATTATTGGTTTCTGCCTGCTATAGAAACTCTCAGTTTAAATCTCCAACATACTTTTGTCAAATCATTGTAGCTATGTTAAAACAGTCCAAACCTGAGTTACAGGTGTCTGAAGCTCTGTCATTGTGTATGTGCTAAAGTTGCTGTTTATTTTTCACCCAGGTTTTGAAAGTCTCTGTTGTAATGTTTGATTTCCTCAGAAACACAAAAATAGGCCTTTTGAGGAAGTGGGAAGCTTTTTCAGCTGTTATTTTATCTGGAAATCACACCACATTTATAAAGATTGCCTTGATGTGTAGAGCATTTAAGCAGTCTCAATTTCTATTAAAATTTAAGATGAAAAATAAAGGCAATGGAAAAAACATGTATTTCCTCCAGTTCTGTGTTCTTCAGGACATGTTTTTGCAGCTCCTGATACACAAGATAGAAAGGAAATTAATTGTACTGTCAGGGCCCCGTTCATTGTCTGCAACAGTCCTTATTTCACCATTTGGTGAAGAGGAACAAGGCTGGTGTGCAAGGTCTCCAGCTGTCCTGCAAGGAGCAAAGACTGTGTATCTGATATTTACTCCCTGCAAGGAACTGGGCAAGAAATGATGGAGGGATTGGAAATAAATGAGCCCTTCACAATTTCTTTCACCCTGCAGTTTCTGACCCCCATAGGTGGAGACCCTTGCTGGAGGCAAAAATCAGCATTGCATGTAGCGCTCGGCCTGCACAAAGCTTGCTGATGTGCATGGTAAGATTTTGTATTGTGTTTGCATGTCAAGGTTTTGGTAGCAGGAGAGCTACAGGGTGGCTTCTGTAAGAAGATTCCAGAAGCTTCCCCTACGTTTGACAGAGGCAACGCCATGGGGGACCCACACTGGAGCAGCCTGTTCCTGAAGGACTGCACCACACGGAAGGAACCCACACTGGAGCAGTTCATGAAGAACTGCAGCCCATGGGAAGGACTCACGTTGGAGAAGTTCACGGAGGATTGTTTCCCATGTGAGGGACCCCACGCTGGAGCAAGGGAAGAGGGTGAGGAGTCTTCCCCCTGAGGAGGAGGAGCAGCAGAGATAACATGTGATAGACTGATGACAACCCCCATTCCATCTGCATGCACTCGTCAGGGGGAGGAGGTAGAGAAATCGGGAGTGAATTTGAACCTGGGAAGAAGGGAGGGGTGGGGGGAAAGTGTTATAAGATTTAGTTTTTATTCCTCATTATCCTGCTCTGAGTTAGTCGGTAATAAATTAAACTAATTTCCCCAAGTTGAGTCTGTTTTGCCCATGATGGTAACTGCTGAGTGATCTCTCCCTGTTCTTGTCTCAACCCACGAGTCTTTCGTTATATTTTCTCTGCCCTGTCCAGCTGAGGAGGGGAATGAGAGCAGCTTTGGTGGGCACCTGACATCTAGCCAGGGTCAATCCCCACCCCAGATTTCCATTACTCTCAGTGCTGTTTGGAGCTATTGTTTTAGGAAAAAAAATCAAATGATAAGTTAGTTTTATTTGGGGTGTTTTCATATGCATTAAAACCTGCATTGCAATATCATTACTCATTTTGCGTGGCTCTATGGAAGTCTTTGGAACATGTCTGTCTGGCAAGCACGCACTGAGGTTTCCTAGACTATTCTCATATGCTTTACTTCTGATGGATGATTTTTTCCTCAAAAATATTTCCCCGTAGCCCTTATTAGTTTTATTCTCAGTTACGGGGCATGTTGGTGCATTTTAAGAAGCCAGCAATAACAGCTCTCTTTTTACGTAGTCACCCATTCATCCTCTTGAATGACTTCTTCACAAAAAATGCATATTTCATTCAACTGTATTCCGCACCTCTAGATGCTAAGGCTGTGGTGTTGTATTAGTGATGTCATTAGTGATGTCAGGCGCAGCTGTGTGTTGCCTGTTCTAGAAGATGACTTGGCAAAGGTAGAGCATTTGGCTGGCTGAGCCCAAGGGGAGCTCCTGTGCTGGTGAGAGCCCCGTGTCACTGTTGGACTTCCCAGGAGATCACTGACCCTGATTGCCACCTGGATTTACCACTCTGCATCGTGGCTCCTTGGTAGAAGGTGCTGCTCCCACCTGCCTTGTTATCCTGCTCAGCTCCTGGTTCACCATCCCTCATGGACAAGCTTGTCCTCGCTGCGCCCTGACAGCTGACGTGATTATCCCCGGAAATATGGTTTCATGACAGGTTGCAGGTTAGGAGCAGAAATTCTCCCTGGCTGTGAGTTTTAAGCTATCTTAAGTCACAGAAAAGAACTGTAAAAATTAATATTTATAAATGGGGTATAGAACATCCTCATTCATATAAGAAAAATGGAGAGCTTTGTTTTTCATAATCTCAGGAAATGCCAGTTCAAACATGCATTACAAAATAGCAGCTGGTAGGACTTTTTTGTTACCTTTTTTTGATGAAAAGTGAAATGAGATGAAATTAAAATAATTTTTATTGTAAAAGATGATCAAGGTTCAGAATGGACAAAGAAGTTCTAAAGTAGACATTTTTCAAGATGTTTCCTTTTAGAATTTTTCAGAATTTCACTCCTGAATTCTGAAGTTTCATTTTGACCTTATAAAGTGGTTTGATTTTTATATTATTGTTAATGTATTTTACACCATGTCAGTAACAGCACTCAGTATAATGCTTGAAATATTTTACTTTATTCTCTATGTCCTAATTTCTTATTGGAACAAGTTATCTTTTTGAGAGTCCATGTCCAGCTCCAGGTTTGATGGGAAGCTCAGTGACTTGTGCTGCTTGTGGCTGAGTCAAATCCCAGAGCAGACAAATTAGTCTACAGTGTAAACACTGATTATATATGACTCTACCTTTTACACTTTTTGGACTGCTTCTCCTTAGCCTTTATTTTCAAGCATTCTGCTCACTTAGCTCTCTATGTAAATGTGTGCATGCATCTTTCCCAAGGGTCCATTAATTTTCACTGGAGATTCTGGTTTTCAGTCTTTGGTTTGCCCCGTGGTACCAGCAGGTCCATGTCACTCAACCTGTCTGCCACAGATTATGGACCAAGGGGTTTTTGTCCACCGGGGGAGCTGGAAATGCTCTGTGAAATGCAAGTGTGTCCGTGAAACCACCTGTGATGTGAGAGAGGTATGGTGCTGGACTGGAGCCAGCCGCTCACCCATTCCTGGGGCGCGTAATCCTGGTTGGGGAGAGGCAGTCCAGCCTACTGAGAGGAGAACTGACCTTGTTATTGTGGGTGAAAAGAAACCAGAGTCTTAAGATTTACTTAGGGGGAAAACTGTGCAGTGCAGGGTTTTGACTATTTACTCTACAGAGGAGCTGACAGAAGGAACAGTTTGTTTTTAATTTTGCTGTGTTAGGAGAGTACAAACTATGTGAATTGGGATGGAAGGGGTTTGTGGAGAGGACGATAGCTGTGTGCACAAGGTGTTCTTCTGGATGCGTGTCTCCTCCTAGCCATGAGCTTTTCAATTGGATGAGGAGAGGAGTCCTCTCAAGAGGGGGAGCATGACACAGAAAAGGTGGGAGAAGCCATGTGTGGATGTGCAGAACCAGCAGCAAGTGGGATGCCCATGAGGCAGAATGTAAATGTTACCTCCAGCCATTCTCCTGCTTCCTGCTAGGGAAATATAATTATCCTGCCCTTTCCGGCAAAACCTCTCACTATAGCTCTGGATGGGTAGCTACAAAAATAGGAGGAGGTGACCAATTTAGCACAGTGTCTGTGTCTAAATAAAGCCCAGTTTGGGTCTATGGCCAAATAATAGCATCCACTACTCTGTGGGTATATTAATGTATGAAACCACCGGGGATATAATTAAGCACTGCTATTCAAAGGCTAGCTATGTAGTATGGATGCCTTTCTGTATATTCTTTACATATGAAAGCGTGAATACTGCCAGGAATTCAGCAGCAGAAGGTCTGGCGTGCAGCTGAACGACACATGCGTTACCACACTATCATCTAGCGGCAGTAAGAGGCAAAATGATGGACCTGAGCTGTAGTTTGCTTCTGCTTGCACCAGAGTTACCATGATATTGAGTGCAACCACTGATGGGGTATTGAAAGACTGATTTCCAAGCTCTGAAGTCTGTAGTCAGCTTTCCTCTCTTCTTTGGGAAAAGATTATTTTGATTTATAACAAAGACACGTGCACCGATTTTCAGTCCAATGCCCAGGTGGGAGTTTTGAGTAAGAAGTAAGAATTATGAGTTCAATTATCATGCCTTGGAGTTAAGAAAAAGAAAACAAGTCAAGCTGTGCTCTGTAGGCCAGCATCTAAATTGCAGGTGCAGATCTTCACCTGGCATCAATCAACTTCAGTGAAGCCAAATTGATTTATACCTGCTGAGACTTCGGCATAGTATCTTCAGAACTCCTAGATTTATGCTTTTTTCAGAAAGACAGAGAGAGGTATTTTGATGTTTTTAATTTATTCTGACCCCTGTTATTCAAAGTCTGATCCGGTGTAATGCATACATCTCATGCAAATTTCTGGGTTATAGTCTGTTGTGACACAAATATCAAACATAGAAGAGTTGAAGTAGATTTATGTTGTGGAACTTTACCCTTGCAAGTACACGAGGGGCATGATTCAGAACACAAACAAGCAGTAAAAGCATTCAGCATAAAGAGCAAGTCCTCTATCATTTTATATTCTTCTATGAAAATTAAACCTTTGCTTTTTGCCACACTCAACATGAATTCATAGGAGTAGAGGGGTGCCATCTAGTGAAGAAAAGATTTATTACATATCTAAAGAGCCACAAATCCAGCTTAGTTCTGCGTCATTCTTTAGTATGATCAGAATGATAAGGCCGGAGAAATGTTCTGCAAGAGAAACACTGAGCAATATGCTCAGTTCACTGAAAGAAAAGTATGACAAAGTGCCCTACACATATACATAACAGCTTCCCCAGCATCACTTCCCTTCTCCTCTAGACAAAAAAAAATCTAATATGTTAACTTACGAGTTATTTAGGGAAAGTTCAATGTCTCTTCTAAACATTCCCAGCTAGATTAGCAGAAAAGTTTACAGATGACCTTGATGTAGGCAATTCCTTTTTCCTGCTAATTTTTGGCTACGTCTTACCATTCAGAAGCTTCAGAAAGTGGAAGATCAATTCTGAATCCTTTAACCTTGCACTGCAAAAGCCTAAATATATTACAGCTGATGTGTTGACACCATGCCTAACACTTAGTGATAACGACTCTTTTTTAAAATACTCTTTGAGACTACTGTCCTCGTCTCCACAATGTCCTCAGTTTTCTTCTTAAAGCTTCTCCTCCTTTTACATTTTTCAGATCCACAAGGGAAGTTAATCATATACTTTTATTGTATATTTCATACTGTATTATCTTGGAAATAG